GTTGGACTATCGGCCCACCGGGACAAGTCCCGGTATCCCGATAGGCCAGTCCGCCCCTGCTTTAGTACATCCTTTGACCAATTTTATATAAGTGTTCTGTTTATTTTCACTTTTCAATCTTATCTAGCAGTGTATCACTTATACTGATCATTGGTAGTACATAATCCAGAATGGAGTAGTAAGATTTTGGTAGAGCACAAGAAGGTGACATTTTTAATCTCTATTACCTGCTGCAAATTTCAGTGCATTGATGCCTTTGGTAGTTCTTGTTATCATGGGGTAATGTGGCTGGTCAAATTTAGTTGTCTGTTAAAATCTATACCTCCCCTATGCCCTTCATTCACTGTTTCTTCTAGGGTGATGACTGGACCTACAAAGGGTGGCTATCGTTTGTTTTTCAGCAGTATATCTATTATTTAGTATGCATAAGATGGTTGTAGCTTTGGTAGGATTGTTGACCATTACTGTGTCATTACACCATTTGGTCATCCTGCTAAAAAATGGTTGTATCTTGCTTTCTATTCTAGTTTTGCTAGGGCCTCTGCTGTACACCAGGAGTTCATCATCAAAAGTTAGCACATGACATCAGGTTGGAGTATTAAGGTGGTCTAGTTATTGAAGAGAACTGGCAAAAGTGGAAATTCTTGAGGCAGACCAGAACTGATGGTGTTCCAGTTTTTTTTATGTTTTATGATACACCTTCTGTTAAAATGTGGAGCTATGACATATCTTACACGTGTTGTACAGCTACCTATTCTGAGAATTTTCTCAGCAAAAATAGGCAGCTGGATTATTTTGTAGACAAGGTGTTTTGAATAACTTTAAAGCCTTCTTTTGTATTAGCTATGAAATCAGCAGCATTGATCTAAGCTTCTCTTCCACTATGGTAACCACCTAATGATGAGTTTATTAGTAATTCAATATGATAGGCAAGCCATTTCTGGGATATTGGCTATGAAGTTTTGTAGGACGATCATTTAAGAGCCTTCTTGGTTTAGGTAAAGACCTTATAAAGGCATTGGTTCCTATTTCATAAGTGCTACAACAGATTGTAAACAGCTTTCCAAACATGGAACTTTTTACACCATCTGACCCTGGAGCTTCACTTTTAGATGTGTTTGTGGTTCTATTTATCTTATTCAAGCTAAACATGGCTTTCATAGATACATGTAGTTGCAACTCAAATAATGACTGCTGTAGCTTGAATCTCTCTTGCAGTTCTTCACTGGTGTATCTGCACATGAAGGTGACCTTGGTCTTCATCTGTAGAGAGAGGGGTACTGTAATTATCTTAAATAGCTGGCATTGTCATTTGTGTTTTTTCCAAGCTGTGACAGCCATAAGTTTGTTGAAGTGCCAGAATGAAGAACTGTGAGACTGGCCTTGCTCATTTCATTCCAGAGAGCACAGGTTCAATTCCATGCAGCCCCTTCCTTCTCTTTCTAAGCTAGGTCATGCCTTATCAGTATGAACTTAGCCAAAGTTTGATTGCATGCTTTCCTGGTTTTATCACCCTAGTATACTATAATATGGGGTATACCTTTTGCAAAAGTTATTACCTTGGCATTGCTCAATGGTGGAGATATGATTGAGAGCACAATTGTTGCTATACAGCTTCACTTTATTATAGGGGTTAGGCTGTTTTATATTGCTTTATCTTTCAGTCTTCAAATGCACGTGAGATGGAAGTAGCAAAAGCAAAGTTTTTACAGGAGTCTTTATCACCCTGACACTTGGCAATTCTTGTTGGCTTACATGAGTTTAGTAGTATTTGGTTGGTGGCTATACTGTGGAAAACAGAATGTGAACCTTTTGCCATTAATGTTTTTATCTGCATCCCGGGTGAGGTATCTGGCATTGAATTTCACTACTGCTAGATACATAAGAGGACAGGTCAAGCAGAAACCTACACTCTTCAGCATGATGTTTTATGTTACCTTTCATGTACAAATTGGTGATCCAGATTTATGTTGGAAACTTCAGGTGATCTATCAGGATGATTTAGATCTTGCAGTGGTGATGTTCCACTGATGGATGTCATAATGTTCATAGTGGATGCTGCTGTTATGTTGAACCCCAGTGGCCAGTCTACCCTCTAGGTCAGCATATGGTATGAAGTTAAAGCTAGTGAGAGTGAACTACTCAGGGTCTGAGAGTTTAGTCACTGTAATGAGCCTGATATCACAAAATTCACAGAGATTCTCAAGGCAGAATTGATTTGAGAAAAATAAATAAACATCAACTAGCCTAAATAAATTTCTTAAGCATTTAAAATTTATGAAATCAGGATACAAAAATGAAATAACAAAAGTAAACAGAAAAGAAAGTTTTAATTTTTGTCTAAAATTTACCAGTTTCCTGAATTTTAAACATAAAATTATTTTTTGTTCAACTATATTTTTAATTTATTTGGCATAAGCCTATTCCCTTAGTTTGAAAGTTTAAACTGATAATTTCTCTCTCTCAATTTTTTAAAATTTTAGTTAAATAATTAACAATAGAGTGCATAGTTTTTATTATCCTTTTCTGTATATTTGTTTTAGGAATTTTTAGCCTTAGGATCAGCAAACATTTTTTCTTGTTTCTTTTCCTGTTTTCCTTGTTCTGCTGGTATATCCCGAAGTCTCATCCAGGATGGTACCGGTGGTTGTACTCAAGTAAGGCATTAACATATTTATCCTTACTTTGTATTAAATATTACTTAATCTAATATAATTGCATATTGCTTGGACAGTATTAAAACATCATTTATTGTTTACAACTAAACATAAAATGTAGCTTGTGAAATGGGATGGTTAATACTTGTAACCTCCAACACCTCATGAAAAACACTTATGCCAGAACTCATTAATAATTCCAGAAGAAATATGTCATTTGAAATGTGTTATGAATATCATGAACACTTTTATGTTAAAAATATGATTAAAGATCTGTAAGTATAGTTCCTTTGTATTAATTTCTATAATAATCAAAGAACATGTCTGTGTGTGTGACCACTATAACTCCAAGAGGAAAGAACTTAGGAACCTGAAATTTTTCACACATTCTAAGTGTATCCTGAGGGTATGCACCTCGGTATTATTTCTTATCCACATGTGTGCACACATGTGCATCTTTTTTTATGAAACATGGTAGGGAAAAACCACATGGAAAAGGGCTACCATATCTGTAAGAGGAAAGAGCCTAGAGACCTGAAATTTTGCACCCATACTAAGTGGAACCTGAGGGTGTGCACCTGTTTTTTGATACTTATCCATATGCGTGCACCAATGCATGTCTTTTTAATGAGGTAAGCTAGAGAAAAACCACATAGAAAAGAAGTGTGACTGCCATAACTCAAAGGGGAAAGAACCTAGAAACCTGAAATTTTGCAACCATACTAAGTAGATCCTGAGGACTTGCACCTGGGCATTATTACTTATCTTATCCACATGTGTGCGTATGCACATCTTTTTAATGTGGCCAGCTAGCAAAAAGCCACATAGAAAAGAAGTGGTTCCTTATATTACAAATTATAGGTATAAATCACAGAGAGACAGAGAGAAACGCACATGTGTGCATGCATGCATCTTTTTAATGAGGTAATCTAGTGAAAAAACATATAGAAAAAAAGTGGTTCCTTATATAACAACTTCTAATATATAGAAAAGTCAGTGTGTTTTGGTAACATTGAGTTCCAACATTGGCTTTTATATCACATTGCTTAGCAATAAAGGTATAACCTAATGTTGTTAAGAGGTTATGTACTAAAGTTATAAAATGAAATGTATAAACTACCAAATTGGAAAAAAAAATGTTTTACAATTTATAGGCTCCTTTAATTAAAGAGGTTTGTTTTTATTATTTGTTATTATTATTTAAGTTTAAAATCAGAGAACAAGTCAGAGGAAAGGCTACTTTTATAAACAGTCCACATCCCATAAAGGAGCAATAAAAGCATATAAATTATACCTTTATGCTAAAATGAGTTCAGAATACACTCACTGACATAGTCATCTAGACTAAATCAACCTGATAACCCAAGGGAAGCCGGGTACTTCCCCTGGTCATGAATAATATTGGTATGTTTGGTCATGTAAAAATAAGATTTTTACAGATTTTTTATCAAATTAACTTAAACGTTTGTTATAAAATCTGTAATTTTATAAAAAGATGTCATTTATCCTTGGGTTAAAAAATAGGTTTATTGAAGAAAAATGTTTTCATCGGTTCAAAATGTGGGCTTCTTTGAAGAAAATGTTTTTATTAGTTGGAAGGCAGGCTTGTTGAAGAGGAGAGTATTATATTTTTCATGTAATTTTCGACTTTAGTTACCTGTTATCACGTATGACAGAATCAGCAGACGTGACAGGACTGAAAATAACAAAGTTATGTAATAAGTACATATGATCATAGTGACTTATGAACAAATCTTTTATGTATGTGTATAGTCCTTACCAAATTTTATAATTAATTTAATTACTTTTTAAGGTAACTTCATTAAATAATAAGTTCTATATGAACAAACATTTCTCAAGATATGTATTCAGTTGATTAAATGTAATTAAGGAATTATTAAGAAATCATGTCAGTTATTATAATGAAACTATTATGATATTTTGAATATTCATATTGATTGTAACATAGCTGTAAGACTAGGTGATTTCTTTGCAAACAGGGTCATGTTACTTATAAAAACTATAAGTATTACTGCTGTTTGTAGTCTTCAGCATAAAGAGCCCAAAACTTGAGGACCCAATATCTCACTCCATCTCCTTATAGTAACAATATGAACAATAGCAATAAATTTTAAGAGTTTACTTCTTTCTTTTATAGCAATATTAAACATGCAGTAATGGTTTATAAAAAAAAAAAATATTTTATTCTTAAAATACTTTCTACTAAAGCACAGTAAATTTCTTAGTTTCATATTGCCTTTACAGATTGCCAGCCTGATATCTTCTGTCCTTATGTTGGGATTTTTATATGTGGCCACTCCCTTGTTTTATAACTTACCAAAGGTAATAATATTTTGTAATCTTTCTGTACTACACTATAAAGACTAGCTGCAAATCATTTGAAATATTTAGTTTTTCAATTCCTGTAAAGAAAAAAAACATGTTTGAACTTGTTTAATTAATAAACAGTATATTAAGATAAAAACACACACCTAATTTTCAATATTTTTGTGGAGATTATGTTAAATCTTTCTTTTGTTTTTTTATTTAAGTGTATTTTGTCCTGTGTGATCTTTGGAGCATTGAAGGACATGTTTATTCACATCAAAGAGCTTAAGAATATTTGGAATATATCCCAGGTTGATGGTGTAAGTCTGTCATTTACTTGTTACATGTTTTTAACTATAAAGAGATTGGGACACTAATAACACATTTTCATCAACACTTTTAAAATGTATTTTTGATTGCATTTACAATGAAAGAACTTATTTTTGTTAATATGTATAAAATCATGTATTAAAGTATACCAAATTTAGAACTAATTGTTAATATCGGACATACATGAATTTTTTTAAAATTTCCTTTATATACTTGGGAATAAATTGAAATCATAGTCAAGACTGTTGTAGGGTGAAATGTTTGGTAATAACTGAAAAGTTAAATAACTTCAAATCAATGTGTTAGCATTAACGTAAACTCTATATAAAATAAACCCTTAGATATTCAACTGAGTTAGAACTATTATATCGATATATATTTAAACCCTCTCCATATATATAAGTATTTAAACAAAGTAGAATCAAGAACTTAATGTCAGTTTAAAAAACATATATGTGGTATTCATGTACACTGATATCTAACAGATAAGAATCAAATATCCACATAATGCAGTTTCACAAATGTTATACAAAGTAAAATTTCAAATACATAGTACAATTTACAGAGGAATAAAATCTTTATTTATTCAAAATATGAATATGTTATATATTTAACTGGCTGGATCTATATTTATATTAAGAATGTAACTGACTACTGGGATGGAGATAAAGGAATTGCACATCTACATAGGAAAAACACCAAAGCAAGAATACTCAATACCACAATTTCAATTTACCAGTTTCATAATGCAGCATCCCACAATCCTTAGAGTACCTACATCAGTGATTATTCCAAATAAACATATCCAATGGAGATAAACCCTAACTTATATTAACTTGTATTAATCTTTATACCTTCAGCCCTTTAAATGGGATTAATCCCCCCTAGACAGTGGACATACCTAGAAAAAACGATCTGAATACACGTGAATAAAGTCCACTAGCATGAAAGGGTAAAATATGGTGATATTAATATTATTACATAAATGTTCAATTAGGTTAGAACCAGTATTTCAGTATTTGACGAAACTTTTTATCTTGCTGTTTATGCCACAATACAAAAACGTATTCTGATAGCACATCAGGAAATTATAATGTTGTGTGTTGCTTCTAATAGTTCATTTTCATGGGGAGTGTACCACATGGACTGTATTACTAATATTTGCTGCCAATCATTGGTACACGTCTGCTTAAATAGACTGTCACTCCTTTTGCAAAGTTTAGTGAGATTTTGAGACCTGTCCCTCGGGCAGTATTTCATAATATCCCAGACTGGATCATTCAGATTTGTGAAAGGGGTCTAGGCTGGCAAGGTATATTCTGGATGTTACTTGTTTCAAACCACTATCATCGGGGAAAGGTGTTCACCCTTATATATAATTAATTATGACATGTTACCATCTAGAGTGAATTATATGTACCTATTGTTTAGGTGATTCCATGAAAAACTATGATTTAAGATAGGTACTTTGCATTTTTCGTTAACAAAGTTTGAGGAATTATAGAAATCCAAATATACCATAAAAGAAACACAGTTCAAGTCCAGTGACTTCTTATAACTCGCAGTTGCGTTATGGTGAGTAGCATAAGTAAGATAAGACATTTTCTTCATGAGTTAGATTGGAGCCTGTGTTATCCATCCTTATAGGTAAAATGACACTAACCACAAGAAGTAAAAAAAAATAATGAACAAAACATATTTCTGATATGGTACATTACCACCTCTCACATAAATAGCTATTCTCGTTCAGTGCTGCCCTCTATGTGAAATTATTTTATGCATGCCACAAGTCTTTTACCTCCCCTCCATTGGAATTGACTGATTCCAATGCATCTCTTGTGCAAATCATTATGCTACAATCCTTCACCAATAAGAGTGCAACACACTCTCATTACACGCGACCCACTCTATTCAATTCTATCTAACTATCACTTCTCGTTTGACAGTGCTAGTGTTTAGACTTTTTTTTTTTTTGCTTTTATGCTTTTCCTGTGGTTTGCATTCGTAAATTTAACATTTCTAATTCTGAAGTGGATTTATTTATTAATAATTTATGGTTATATTGCCAATGCCTTTTGCTTTAAAGTCATGTTTCGGTCTCTATTTTTTTTTTTTCTCTCTCGCACATTTACATTTTTCTATCAAACATTTTTGTTTGATTCATAATTTGAAATGTATGCTGAGGTTAGTGTTACCACTTTGGGTATCACACCTCCTACAAGCACTTTTTCATGGGCTGTAGGTGTGGGTGACCAATTGATGGATTTAGCATGGATTATCTACCGAGAAATTGATTGACATATGGGTCAACCATATTCTCCTGAACCTGCCCCACTTCCTGCTGAACAAGCCAAACCTGTTCAGGTTGAAAATTTCTACAGTATCCTACCACTGGATTTTGCCATGTCTTCTTATGCCCCACATGTGGAATCAGCTAGCCTAATACATCACTTTTATTCATGATTTCTCAGTTATGTGATATTTTATTCATTTCTTGGATTTTCTACGATTCCCATCCTTCTTTGTTACATGATAGTTCTTCCTCTCCTTATTTAGTTTTCCCACATTCTCTAGATATTAGGGCTCATGCCAAGCATTTTGCTTCACAGTTGGTTGAGGTACCAGCATGCCTTGCCCCCATGGCTTTGGCTTACCACCAAGCAGACTGTCCATTTCTAGACTCTCAGCAGTTGGGGTCTATTTTACCTGTTTGGGGGTGGTCCCTGATTTTCCTGTACGTTTAACACATGCCTAGTTTTCATGCCTTCTTCTTACCCTTAATACACTTCTCCAGTATTAATCTACCATACTTCTCCTATCCAAGGCAATACATTTAGATCCTGATGGATTTTCGAAGGACAGCCTCTCTCCTATTACCTCCATATTGGCTTATTTGTAGTCTTCAGCTCTTGCTTTATACACGTGGTTTATGTGTTGTTGGGATCTTCTGGGCCGCGAAGCGGCCTTATCCAAGGTTCGTTTGCTACCCCACTTATCTCGGGGATTTATATATGGCCCCTTTTCTTTGATGGTATGTTTTGACCATGTATCCGAGACCTTGAAATCACATGTGGAATCCGTGCATCAATGCTCTACCCTTTTCTCTTTGGTAGCTAGTTTGTCGCAGTCAGAACCACGACAAGCCCCTATTTCCATTTCCCATCATAATCCTTCCCAGCCTTTACCTGTTGCTCATATCGTTGTTTTATTCCATGTAGATGGGCATGATGCCAATAGTACTGGTGACTACCCAGTGGGAGCTCGATTGTGCGAATTTGTTCCTCTTTGGTGATCTTTCGCCACATATCAGTGGGTTGTTTGAGTTTTATCAGAGGGACTTCTTTCCCAACCTCACTTGTTTCGTGTACCCATCTCCTTTGGATCCCATCATCAGCCAGTGCCTGTCAAAGTTGGTAGAATTTTTTTTGTCTCAACAGGCCCTTGAACCTATTCATCATCTTTCTCCAGGTTTTTATTTCGGGTTGTTTGTTGTCCCCCAAGAAAACCAAAGACTGGCTGCCTGTAATAGATTTGTCCCACCTCAACTAATTTCTCAGTCTCCCCCCATTTTACCATGGAATAGTTTCTCACTCTCAGGTGGGCCTTTTCTCTAGGTTTATGGATGACCTAGATGGATGTCGTGATTGGTTACTTGCATATCTCGATATCTCAGCAGTTGTGACCATATCTTCAGTTTGTTCATCACGAGGTGATTTATCAGTTTTGTGCACTACCCTTCGGGTTTGCTTCAGCCCCATGTTTTTTTTTCGGGTGGTCCGAGCATTTGTATGTCACCTACATGCTCTCAGGTTGCACTTTCATTATTATATGAATGACTGGCTACTGTTATCTTGTTCTGAACAGGAATCTGTCCATCACACTCATCAGCTGCTTTTGAAGGTGGCTTGGCTGGTTATTCAAATTGGAGAAGTCATTCCTTCAACTTACCCAATATCTGATCACTTTAGATATTTTTTCATCACCTATCTCAATTGGGCCCAACCTTCTCCTTTTCGACTTTATTTGATGGAGCTTTCAGTTCTACACACTCTTACTGCTCCCTCTATTACAGCTCATGAGGTTCTATCGATTTTGGGGATGTGGTCTTTCATGGCAGCTCTTATCCCATTTGGTCGTGTTCATATGCAGGATCTTCATTAGGCTCTTCACGACCAGTGGAATCTTGCACAGGATCCTTTGAAGACTCTTATAACCCTTGCTCTTACCATAGTCGACGATCTGCAGTGATGGTTGGACAGGACCCACACGTCAGCAGGTGTCCCGCTTCCTCCTCTTCATCCAGATTTACATATTTTCATGGATGCACCCCCTTCAGGGATGGAGGTGTGAGTCGATCAACAGGAGGCTTTGGGGTGTTGGCCTGTGGCCGAGAGGTCTTATTGTTTCAACACCCTGGAACTTCTAGCTGTACATTGGGCTATGGTTAATTTTCTCCATCTGGCCAGACATCGTCTGGCAATGATTCATTCCGACAATTATACAATGGTTGCTTATCTAAATCTTCAGGGTGGCACCAGTTCTCGATTCCTATGTTTTCATAAGTAAGATCTTTTTTGGGCCCATAATGCAAGATATTCATATCACATTCTGGGTCTTTCAATAATTGTCGTGGATTGTCTTTCCGATCCAGATAAAATCATCCTACATATATTTTCCTTTATGCAGATCGTTTTTTCCTCCCCAATACTTCGGCAGCTAGGGAAGGTAACTCAGCCTTTTGTGCCAATTTTTCTTCCATTTACCACCTTTATCTTCGGCCTGATCTGGATATACTTCTATGTTCTGTACTTGCTCATTGCTGTTATATTGCCCACACAGTTTCCTTCCGTGGTGCCTGTTCACACCTCTTTATTCCTTGGCAACCATCCTCTGTTCGTGATCTTTCTGCTTCCACCCTCACCAATTGGGTTTGAAATTTGATTCCATTGACTTTTTCCTATCTATCATCTTCCTCCCGTACTTTGTTCGA